CACAACCACAACACACAACCGCAGCACACAGCCCGAGGACCCACAAGCAAAATCGAGAACTACAATACTCACGACCATGGCAACATGCTCCTCACTATGGCATCAAGTCAAATGATTGAAATGTCATGGTGGGGGTCACTCGAAGTAAAGTAATTTACCTATTTTTCCCCACCTGCCAAGTAAGGGTTGTTAGATTTTATCACAATTGTTCTTCCTCTTCCTTCCTTCCTTCCTTCCTTCCTTGGTTCCTTCCTTCCTTCCTTCCTTCCTCCTTGTTTCCTTCCTCGCCAATCTACCAGTGTGCACCCCTAGACCTCAACCGCAAGGATCCGATCGCAGTATGCATCCCTAGACCTCAACCGCAACACCCCTGGACCTCAACCGCAAAAATCCGATCGCAACGTGCACCGCTGGACCTCAACCGCAAAGATCCGATCGCAGTGTATACCCCTAGACCTCAACTGCAAGGATCCGATCGCAGTATGCACCGCTAGACCTCAACCGCAAAGATCCGATCGCAATGTGCACCGCTGGACCTCAACCCCTAGGCCTCTTTGAGATGTTTTCTGTCGCTAGGCCAGCTCAGACAAGATAAGGCGACCTCCATGACCGGCCCGTTAGTGATTATATTGTGGCGAAAAAAAATGCAACGAATATGGTTCTGAACCATAATATCCTCACCATGATATTTATACAATAAAATGCATAAATGTCATGGTGGGGATCACTCGAAGTAAAGTAATTAATATATATATATTATTTATATTTAAATTATATGACTTAAATATATCTAATTGAATAGGGGAATGATATACGTAATATTTATATTGATTTTTTATCTTCCGCAGATCCAACAGGTTCTGCCACCTTCCTGCCTCGAGCTGCAGGGCAGGTATGTGTGCGTGATTTTTGCATTTCTGTCCACCCCGCAGCAAGAAAACAAGAAACAAGGAATTCGGAGTTCAGATTCCGCGGATTTGTCAAGTTCCTGATCGCAATCAACGGACACCTTCATCTGCCATGGGCAATGGCTGTTGCTGTTGACTCGTACCATCGACCAAAGGCCATGCCCAAAACCGCTCGTCCAAGAGTATCCGAGTGCCGTGGGACCTGATAGATATTCATAATGAAGACTCGACCACCAACAAAAGAATATACAACCATCTATAACCCAAGACTTATTTCTACATTCTTCTACCCATCTTTGAAGCTCGGCCACCTGGGTGCCCGCAGCGCTGCGCAGCTCCGCCGCAGATCGACCACCTGCTGCGCGCTGGCGCAGCAGGCGGCCGCGTCCGCGTCGCGCGCGCGGAGCAGCGCCTGGGCGCTGACTGCGGTGACTGCGGTGGCGGCTTTGAGGTCTTTGGACCTGGTGGGGTGTGGAAAAACCATGAGGACAAAATGGTGAAACCTGGTGAAAACAGCGAATTCCCAGAAGCCGATTGAGCATGGAAGAGAAGCAAAACCGACTTGGAAGACACCGATCACCAAGTGGGGGCCAGCGAAAGGCGCAGCCGTTGGGAAGGGTAATGATCAAAAACAGATCAATCAATCACGATCCAATCTCTATATATACCTGTAAAGAAACGCAACAAAAAACAGGGAGGAACATTTGCGCGAGTGGGCACTTGCGGATCTTTTGCAGGTCAAACACATTGAAATCTGCAGGATAAGATTCTCCAAAACGACGAAGATGCGCCGACGGACGAGACGAGAAGATGTGCAGCGCTCTAGATGTCCGAAATGCTCGGGTTAGGCCTGGAACGTCAACGTTGATCTTTGCTTCGACTTGAGCAGTTCCAAAGAAAGACCAATTCTATCCAATTCTATAGAACATAGACAGACCATCCACTTCAAACATGTGAAGTTCTAGATTCTAGATTCACTAGTTTTAACTCAAAAACCTCTCACCTTCTTTAATCAGCTTATTCCCCTTCTTCCAATGTGTCATTGCCTCTTCAACTTGTTCTTATCTCCATCATAATAAACACTCTTTTCATAATAAATCCCCATCCAACTTTTCATAGCATTGGGGGGGGACCACCAGGTTCTTAAATCATCGGAGGGGCTTGTTTCCCTCGCAATCTGAACATTTTTGCAGTCCGAAACACCAAGTTGAAGTGCACCACGTGAGAAAAGTAGTACATTGGCAGTCGACAAAGAGCTTGTCGGTAGACCTGCCAGCTGGGAGCTCTCAAACCAAACAAGCAGCTCCAAAAACAGCCACTGTGGTGGTTCAAGCCACACCTCCACCCAATGCTGTATAACTAGTCATCCTGGCGTGTCAAACATATACTATATACGAAAACAAACCGACAAAAGCTTCAATAACTTGAAATTTCTTCCCTCAAGTACAACTGTCTCTGTGCCTTCCGCGCTTCTTCGAAGGAGCCAAGGTCACACAGCACCAGCCTGAGTCCCGGGTCACCACGAACTCTGCAGGACTCTGCGCTGCGACCCATGGAAGAGAACAGGTGCAAAGACCTAAACTGCAAGATATTACAGGAAGCTAACACAACCGCAGCCCGACCAACCCGGTGAAAACTCCCCAACCATGCATGGGAAGCATACGCAGTACGTAGTTCAGTTCAAAAGTCCTGGTTCTTCCCTCATTTCGCCACGTTCTGTAGACCCCAGCCCGCTGGTCTCCCGTCGTTTCGACTGGGCTGGGCGCACCCCAGCAAGTACCAGACACGGGGATCCTTCTCCATGGGCGTTTTAGAGTTGCCACCACTTTCGATTTTGTAGAGGTTGTAGACATTGGAACCTGGCCGGGAGCGACCGGGAATGGAGGTGAGCGACCGGCAGGAAGAGCTTGCAAAAGGCGAAAGCTAGATCACACCAATCCCAATTCTGATGATGGTCTCAAGCTGAGGGAGGACAGGACTACAAGGAGGAAAAAAGCTATGTTCAAGACAAGGATCTGCACACTCAGACTTTAGAAGTTGATTCATGTCATCGTCCAAAAAAATTGTTGCCACAGTTCAAATAATCAATCCAGAACCAGGTAAGATGGTAAGGGTTTGTCCTGGGCGCTGGCCATCTTACGAGTGGCTTTCCTTATATTTTCAGTCCGAGCAGGCAGTCTTTGAGCCTCCAGTGGCCATGCATTCTTGTAGGGCGACGCAGGCCTCTTGCAACAAGTGGAAACGCTCCTAGCCCACGCAAGCCGGTCTCTCGAACGGTCTTTGGATTGCGAAGGAGGCCCAAAAAACTGGATGAGGATGCGGTGGATGCGGTGTGGACTGACGCATCATGGTCATTATGTGAACCAGAGTGAATCAACATTGGGCTACACAGCGTGCCTTCATGGAGGACTTCCGAAACACAACAACACACACATGAAGATCTTGGTGCTGTCAAAAAGCTAAAATCATACCACCTGGTTGCCCTCTCCTCTGCAGTAGAGCGCCGCGCTTGCCCTTGCAGCAAGGCTGCTCGAGCATAGTACCTTGCCAGGCAGGTGGCTGTGACAGTCCACCGATGCTGGTCTTGGGAGGGCAAAAAGCCAAGTTTGCCTCAATCATGCCTGCACACAATACAACACGCCAACGTCAAAACACAAGTTTTATATCCATAAATATATTATAGACTAGTATAAATAAATATATCTATATATATTTATACTCCATCACATACCGCACATATAAAACACACGTACTGCGACACCATAGCACCCCAAAACGAAAGACTCGCCACCTCTACCATCTTGCACTCTTAAACTTCACCTTTGAGGCACCACAAAAATCTCACACTCCAGAATTGGAGGCCGGCCCTGCCCAGGTGGGTGACGTACGTTCCCAGTCGGTCACTCTGCTCCCAGTGACTCGCAGGGCCCTTTCAGTCGCTCCAGCCGTCCGGCCGTCCGCTTCAACAGCCGCTGCACTGCTTCGGCCGCCGTGGGCTGCGCCAGGAACCTCCGGTGCAGGGATGCCGTGGGGAGGGAGGGGAAGAGATGCTGCTACTTTGAATGCAGCAAGGAACTGCTGAATTAAACGTTTTGCCGTCACAAAGGGCTCAGTATAGAATTTATAAGGATATTTAAGGTGATTATTGTGTCATTGTCCCAATGCCAGACTTTCCCATCATTTTAGGATCATGGCTGTGGGACCTGTGGGTTTCACATTGAACTCCAAACCTCCCGTGTTGAGGCTGAGGTCCGAGTCCAACATGCAGGCCTCTGAGATGAACCGATGTTTTCCTAAATGACCCGAATGGATTTCAAACAACGTCCTTTAAAGGACAAACGTTGCAAACCAAACCAAACTGTTGTTTTCCGGGTATGTCAAACGGCATAGATTGGGTCAACATTGTGCAATGAAGAGAGTGTCGATTGGGCATACGGGTCACCCACAAGTGCATAATTTAAAAGAACATGTGCATATTTAACTATCGGTGGAATACATATTTTTTAGGGTTTGCCGTTGTGTGTTTGTCTCCGTGTACCTGCAGGGTGACGCAAGATCGTTTAAACATGACCTTTAATTTGCGGGTGTTCATCATGAAATTGGCACAAGAGTCGGCCACAACAGCCCACTAAATAGTAAATCCTGTGTCTCCGCATGGAACAAATATGAAATATATATATATATAATATATATATATATCAACTCAAAGGTGGTTTGGTTGTTTGTGATTAGGACTTGTAAAGCTTGAATATTTCTTGACCTTCGGGTCAAGTTGGCTGAGGACACTTTGATCGAAGATAGCACACGAACCCGATGGCTCAGGTGAAGTATATCAATAGCAATAGAACAGTTCATTCACCATCCAGAGTTTGAGGTCTGCTACTTCTTCTGCGGAGTGGCGTACCACTCAACTTTGTTTGGTGGTCGCTTGGATGGTTTTGCTCTTTTGCACTGGCTGCTATCGTTTCGCATGGTTTCACTCATGTTCGCGAGGGTGATCCTGTGCTCCTAATTTCTTGATATTGTCGCCCAACGTATCTTCCTGACTCAAAACAGGGAACCTACCCAAAACATAGGGTCTTTCTAAGAACAACAGAAAACTTCCACTCGTGCCCGCATGAAACCTATCAAGCTCACAACCTACCATCTGACTGGGACCAAATAATTGAACAAATTACAAGACACATCAAAACACCAAAGACCGACGGTTTTCGCCGAACTCACAGGTCCACCGAACTCACGGAAACGCCTGTCTATTGATCCAAAGTCCAAGACCGAAGAAAGGTCAAAGCGCTCTTCTAAGGAGTTGGAGAGCTTTTGGTAAAGGACTCCTGCGTGACACAAGAGGAGCAGCCAGTTCAAATGGTCACGGAGGTGTTCAAGTGTTCGATCCCGTTCGAACCTCTACCAACAGAAACAGTCATCCTACAGAAATTTGCTGGAACGTCCCATTCTCCACACACTCGATCCAGGATTGTTGGTCTGCTGCTAAGACAAGAGTGTGTAGTCTGGTGCTTCTGCTCTTCCACTCCAACTACTTGTTCAAAAAATTCAGCAAAAGGAAAAAATCGCCTTCTTGGAACAAAAACACCAACGAACTTGAGGTCAGCAAGGACAAATAAGTTACAATGAATCAGGCCAATCTGACAAAAATGTCGTCGTCAAGCCATGAATCATCTGAATGTTCTCCAAAAATGCGATCCGCCCAAGAACCCCCGTATTTCCACCTGCATGTCGGTAGTATTCACATTTCATGTCACCTACAAATTTTTGGTATCCCAAAACTTGGTCCGCTTTTGCTACGCGATCCGTTGATTCGGCAGAACTGCAGAACCTGCTTTGCCTCATCATGTCTTATCTCATCTCATCATGTTTCTTCTCTCCTGCTTTGCCTTCGGCGGGTCCCGGTGGGCAACAAAGCGCAGTGTGGTCCTCGGAGTGTGGCACCATGTGGCACTGGCTGCTCAGCAACCCAAACCATGTTTGGATGTGTTTAGATCTGGATCAAGCCCGCTTCTCTTCGTGGCAACCAGAAATCGAAACGTTCGACTGATATGCCAGGCATCCATCCGAGACCTCTTCTCACAGACTGGGCAAACGAAGAGGCCACAAAGCTGGCCTTGACAAGACCACGTAGGGACCACGTCGAGGATGCGAGGTAATGTTTTGACAACATGTCTTCGTTCTTATATTCAACTGTCTTGTTGTTGAAACACCTGTTGGAGACCTCTAATTACAGTGAGGTCTCCAGTCTCCGAGGAGCACATGTAGGCACTGGTGCCCACTTGCTGCCCACAGCAGCTGCACTGTGCGGTCACCTGGGCTGTTAGGGTGCCGCTGCTCTCGGCCAAATCCATACCCAGTGCATCCCAGGCAAACCACGAGTACTGAGGAACCAGGGATTCTATGGCATCTATGGATGTCTATGGTGTTAGTCGAACTGGAAGCACTGGGACTCCCAGCAGTAAGTGGTTTGCCTGGATGCTTTGGGATACTACTCATACAGCATACTAAGGATGTGTCATTTCTCGATCTCTAGCTCTGAACAAAGACCGAGTGCTCTTCCGGAGACAGAGACCGAGTGGCATCACCAAAGCGGTTGTTGACTTCGCGGAGCGCGTGCGGCTGCTTGGGCTTGGCGGGTAAGCTCAAGCCGCTGAGTGCCCAAAGGTCGCGCGCGGGGCCATCCTGGGTCGAAAAGGGATTAGGAATGGGATGATTGGCATGGGCCATGGGGGTAGTAAGACTGAGCTGTTGAGGTGAATGTGGCTGGCAGATCTTGAACTGTTTGGGTTGCTTATTCTTCCGGGGTTTCGCCAGTTCTGTGGGCTGAAGCATTCCATTCAAATGCAAGACATTTCTTGTCGTTCCGCCCGGAACTGGCCTTGTCGTTCTCATCCCAAAACATCAGACGAATGAGGATGGACGTCCACCCTCACAGTCCATTCCCACACACCATCAGGCCACAAGATGCTGGCATGAGTCTCAGAACCATATTGATTGCCCAAGTTCTGTTGTGACCATGGGAAGTGAGCTTCCACGGAACTCCGCACGATGGAAGCGATGGAATATCCAAAGAGGCCTTCACCAGCATGTGAGGCCTTCACTCAGTGTGCCTCCGAACAAGAAATGCTCCCCTGAAGATTAACATGGACCCCCCCAAACCACTTGCCATTGTGAGGGTCCATGTTAGTTTTCGGGGAGTGCAAATCCTCGAAGAGTGCTGGCGACCACCAGCTGTGGTTCAGCTCTCAAATTCAATGCACCATGACCCTGATTCTGAATCACCAGAACCACCATTCTCATCGCAATCCATCATTCCAACCACCATCCCCATCTTCCGATCATCCTTCATCCAGACTCGTCCTGTCGTCCTTTCGAGTCATCTATATCCCAGACGCTCCATGTATGCCATATATATATATATATGCCTACATTAGGGTGGTTTGGTCACAAAAGGATTGGTAGCTTCCTCGCCATCGAGGTTGCAACAAAACTGGTTGGAGACCACTCCAATGGAAAACAATGCAATCCAACAACCAATGGTGACCACACCACAAAGTACCAGGTGTCCACACCCAACGGAATCCGGTTGCCCTTATCCAAAAGGGCCCAAGGTTCTCCTCGCAGCCTTTTCCTCAGACCATGGCACAAGCGAATCCTCTCCACACCCGCCCTCGCTCGAGAGATGCGACAGCGGAACATCAGCAAGATCGAAAGGGGCAACATGCGACCTGGTTCATTTCGACATACCACTTATTTTCTTTAAGTGGTCTCAGCATGTTGACCGCATGCGGATTCTCAAGGTTTGGTTGGATGGCAAAAGCATGCACGAACACAAGAGGCATCTGGCTTTTTCTTGCAAAAGAGACTTTCCCCATGAGTCATAGTCACACTATGACTTTCTCAAGTCCTTGCAGTACACTCACTCCAGAGTGCCCCTCTCGAAAAAGCCTGACAGCTTTCACTCCGATGTGGACGACTTGGCTTTTCCATCATCGAAGATCTGCGCATTCGATCTGAGCCACTTTAGTCTGGTTCTTGTGTCGGCCCTCTGTCTGAGAAGTTCGGATTCATCTTGAAATCTATATTGTCCGATGCGTAGGACTTCTCTGAGGATTGTGTTATCCATGATCTTCGTTAATGAGTCCGCGATCTGGGCTCCTGACGGAACCCATCTCAGGCAGATTCCTGTTTCAATGTGCTCTTTAATCAACTTGGCCTGCAATAGTGTTCTAAATTCCAAGCATGACGGTGTCGCAGTGCGACTCACAAGATCATACAAGCTTTTACAGTCTGTGGCCATGATTGACTTTTCGGGTTTGACTTGATCAAGAAGTTCTTTGGTTTGGCACATTGTTTCGTTTGGATCATCAGTTCTGTATCCCTGACTATCGAGAAAGCCGGTGGAAGTTTAGTCAGCGTTTTGTCTCCAAGGCGCCATGCACATGTTGAATCAACTATCCAAGCCCAGAAAAGACGAACCCATTCAAGAGTATCTATCGCTCCGGCTAGTGACATGGACTCGGCTGACAGGGTGCTTACTGCTACGTTCTGGATTTTCAGATATGCCCATATTATTGGGTTGACTTTGCTTTGTTGATTGTTTTCTAGCTGTTTTTGACACGCCATGATCATCAACCCTTGATGAGAACTATCGTTCTTATTTGAGGCAAATGAGGCATCTGAGAACGAGAGAAATCTGGTTTCACTGATAAGAATTGGTTGGAATATGATCTTTGTCTCTGCATACTGTTTTGCTTCATGAAGTACACGATTGGCTTCGAGAAGGTCGGAGACCGTGCCATTGTTGATCCTGGTCTGGAGTTGGCCCAATCGGCTGCACTGCTGCACAGGTCAGGTCTTGTATTGACTGCTGCGTACAATAAACTACCTATGACTGCACGAAGGCGCTGGCGTTCCTCTTCGGTGATCAAATCCTCTTGTTGTTTTCTTCGGGCAGGGGTGTGGCTCGTCTGGGCAACCCCCCCAAAAAGAGTAGGAAAGCGGGGGTTGGGGGGGCGAAAGAGGTTCTAGTGGTGTGGAGAGTAGCAGTGGATGGAAGGGGAAGACGGCTGTGTGGAACTTCAATGAACTGCACAGGTGAGGCAACCCCCTTGAAAGATGTCTTGAAGGGGGGGCTTTGGAGGTGGTGGCGGAGCAATCGTGAAGAAAACCATTGGTGAATCTGCAGGGGCGGAACACGCGCGGTCGGGCCACACGCGCGTGTCTGAGAGCGCGGACGCGGCGAGTGTGGTGAGGTAGGCAATGGTGGCACCTGTGGCAGGCGGTGGGCAAGGAGACGGCGGTTGAAAGTGGGCGCGGCAACGGAGGGGTGTAAGAGTGAGCACTAGCTGTTTTCTCCGTCTGTGCGGTTCCACGCGTTGTGGGTACAACGCCCAGCACAAATCATTGGGGTTGCAGCTGAGGAGAGCACAGCGCGCCGCAGGAGCGGTACCTGTGGCAGGCGGGCGGGGTGAAGAGGATAGGCGCGGGAAGGCGGTGGTGTGGCTCGTCTGGGCAACCCCCCC